CCAAAGTATGAGAGACAAAGCTTAGCCATCTTGGCCTCCAAGGAGCACTCTGGCTGCACTTCTTCCAAAACAGATCTATTGGTTCTTTTGGCAGTCTATGGCACTTTCCGTATTCTCCTCCAACACCATAACTTAAAGGCATCAATTCTTCTACGATCCTCCTTATTCACTGTCCAGCTTTTGCATCCATAAGGCAGTATAAAAACTGGGCTCAAACCAAGACGTCATCACCACCCCTCTCCTTAAAATTAATTCAACATCGAGTTCAGAGATTCAATATGTATGTGTGCGAGCGTATACATATTGAATCTCTGAACTCTATGTTGAATTAATTTTAAGGAGAGGGGTGGTGATGACTTCTTGGTTTGAGCCCAGTTTTTTGCACTGCCTTAATGTCTTATAAAACAGTCTTGAATTATCTTTGATACTCTCTATTTTACACATTAACGCTAATATGGACTACTTGCCTAGAATGGCTGTTTCGGCCAAGAGTTAAACCCATGACTTTTTAAAAGATCATTTCATTAGATTAAGAGTCTGTGTACACGTTAAACTTTTTTGTCTTAAATTTAATACTTCTTTGTAAATTTCAATAAGTTATTCAATATAATAACAATGCATTTGTGTATTCATCCTTAGGTTATTTAGCATCAAATCCAAGATTTGGATCATTACCTAAAGTTGCACGTAAGTTATAGACGTGAAATAAAAAAATAGATTTATATTGGGAAAGAGATGTTTATAGTAAATGGAGATGTGAATGTCCAAAGCTAACTGAGTTGCCTGTATTGACTCAAAAAAGTCAGTCTCCACTTTTTTGCTACTTTGCATTTTTCACTTTGTTCAACATTTTGTGATACAAAACTTACCAGTAGGAACTTGGCCTTGAACATTTCTCTCTAAAGCATGGACTGTGAGGAACTAGAAATCCTGGTGTGGTGCTGTACAGTTAGTGCAATCGGCAGTTCAAACCCACTAGCAGTTCCTCAGAAACCTTATACAGAATCACTATGAATTGTAACTGACTCAACAGCACTTGACAACAGGAGGAACTAGCTGAATAGACTAATACAACTAAATGTCAACAGCAGAGCCTCTTAATGATGAATCCATTAGTGATTTTAATTTTCTTCTTTCTCTCATCTTTAGAGAGATGCTTTTTAGTAGACATATCAACAACTTTCTATTAATTGTGACATACACAATTCTCACAATTTATGTGTATATATATATACTTCTGAGTCATTTTGTCATTTATTTCTCATGACGTCCCTGTGTAGTGTTTCTGAGGTTATAAATCTTTACAGGAGCAGAAAGTCTCATCTTTCTCCCATAGAGCGGCTAATGGATATATATTTGTTGTTGTTAAGTGCTATTGAGTCAGTTTCCGATCCATAGCAACTTGCGTGGGGTTTCCAAAGAGCAGCTGGTGGGTTGAACCGCTGACTTACAGTTAACAGTCTAGAGCTTATCCTACAGCCCGATACCAGTACTTCATATATATAAAAATTTTCTTCCAACTGGTAGAATAGTCCTTTTATGTACAGAAAGAATGTACTCTAGTTTACACTCCAAAACCTTATTTCTAGTGGGAGCCTCAGGGTAGAGATTTCTTGACTTCTAACTGGAAGATCAACAGTTCAAACCCTCTGGTCAATCCTTAGAAACCCATAGAGGGTCACTGTGAGTTGGAAGTGACTCAATGGCACTTAGCAATAACAACAATACTTTAAGAGGAGTTTCTGGGTAGTATAAAATGTTAACACACTCAGCTGCTAACCAAGAAGCTGGAGAAGCAAGTCCACCCTGAGACTCCTTGAAAGAAAAGTCTGAAGGCCTAGTTCCAAAACACCGGCCGTTGAATACCCTGTGGAGTGCAGTGTTGTTCTGACATACATGGGACCATCATGAGTGGGAATCAACTTGACAACAAGTGAAGTGGTACTCCATGGGGGGAGGTCCCCTTTCCCTGTGACCTCAGTTCCCTCCTCCAAGTCCATATGGTAGATTACAGGACCTTTCTAACCGTGTTTAGGAGGCTGCCCATAGTCACAACCCAGACCCTCCTCCCCTTTCCTTGTAGCCTTGGCCATTTGATTGCCAACTGGCCACCCTCAGACTGCTTGCTTCTGAGGCAGAAACTTGGCTTGCTCTATCCTATCCCCAGTTCAGATATGAGGAGTTCAGAAAGTACCCCCTTGCCCATCCAGCTTTTTGATCGAGTTTTTAAAATTGCTTTATTCTAATACTTTAAAATAAAAGTTGTTGTTAAGTGCCATCAAGTTCGTTTCGACTCATGCTGACCCTGTATAGGAACACTGGTGACTTTGAACCACTGACCTTGCAGTTAGCAACCCAGTGCTTATCCCACAGTGCCACACCAGTACTTTTAATAAAGAAAATTCTAAAAGAAGATTAATAGAGACAATTCTGAATCTTCCTATGACCCATTTTTCCTAATCTGTTGTTGCAGTTGCTGGTATCTTGGGATTTGGCCTTGGAAAGGCTTCGTATATAGGAGTATGCCAGAGTAAATTCCATTCCTTTGAAGATCAGCTTCGTGGGGCTGGTTTTGGTCCAGAGCATAACAGGTTTGTAGCATTTTTTCAATAGAAGGATTGCTGATGAGGATAATTATAAGAAATTAAATGCAAGATCATCTACTGCTTGTATTAAAGTTTTAAAAACCATCATGCTAAAGAAAACTCTTTTTTTAAGAAACTTTTTATTGTGAATTGAATGAAAGTTTACAGAGAAGTTCATCAGTTTTACATCCAACAAACCATGCACTTTGTTTCAGATCAATGACTGCAATCCCCTCCACGGAACAACAGTTCTCCCACTTCCTCCCTGTGCTTCTCATTTCCATTCCACCTCCTTCCCACTCCTTCTCAGCTTTGCCCTTAGGTAAATAAATGTTGCCCGTTTGATCTTGAATGGTTGACCATTCCATGGTGAGCATACCTTATTAGTATTGTCCCCCTATCTACTGTTGTTGTTAAGTGCCATCAAGTCGATTCCAACTCATAGTGACCCTATATAGGGTTTCCGAGTAACAGCTGGTGGATTTGAACAGAGACCACTGACTTTGTGGTCCAGTGTCTATCTACTGCTTGACCGAAAATTGGGCCACCAGGGTGAATTCCTTTCCAGATCTGAAGGGTAACCAAGGGCCATAATCTCAGCTTCCTTTGTCTCTTTCTAGCCAGTAAACCTTGTCTCTTTTTTTTTTTTTTAATATATAATTTTGATTTTTGTTCCACATTTTTTCCTACTCTATCCAGAACCTTCTAATATGATCCCTTTCAGAGATTTGATTAGTGGTAACCAGACACCATCTAGTTCTGGTCTCAGAGTCCTGGTGACTTATGTTCACATGTTCCATTAGGCCATTGGACTAGTTGATTCCAAGCATTTTCAATTCTCATCACTCTTCTTTCTTCCACACATGGAGAGACCAATAACTGCACCTTAGATGGCTGTCCATGAGCTCTTAAGATCCCAGTCACTACTCACCAAAGAAGGATGTGGTCTTTGTGGACTATGTTATACCAGTTGACCTTGGTGTTCCCTGAGACTATGATCCTGAGCCCGCACGCCCAGCAGCTTAAACCTTAAGACATTTGTTAATATCTAAGAAGTTTTCCTTATTTTGCCCTTGTATGCTTTACCTCATTTGTAGGTGTGTTTGCAGCAAAGGAAAATAGTCATATACAAATATCCTTAAAGAAAACTCTTTAACACTCAAATTTTGAGTTGTTACCAACTAATTTCAATTATTTAATATTCATCTTAATTATCTAAACATTTCATTTGTGCAACAATTACTTAATGAGTATCCACTATATTCAAGGCATTTTGAAAGTCTCTAAACAATGTGCGGCGCTGTAGGTTATTGCACTTTACTGCAAAGTTAGTTTGAACCGCAAAGCTTGCTCACTATTCAGGGTCACTATGGGTTGGAACTGACTGGGTGGCCTTTAGCAACAACAACAAACAATATGTTAATGACAGCCACGACTTCTACCACCATGGAATACCTGACATTAGTATATCAATGTGTATTGTAAGTCTCTGTGGTAGATAGATATCAGCACTTTGGAGCTAGCAACATGACCTCTGCCTGTGCTGAAAACCAGCTGATCTTCTTACTAAGTTGTGTGACCTTGGACACCTTTCTTAAACTCTCTTATCTCCAGTTTTCTTGTCTGTATTAATTGGTGATCAGAATTGTTTCCGTGAGATGTTGTAAAGACTGAAAATTATTATTCATGACACTTACTAAGTGCTCAGTTAACATGAGTTATTTCTATTATAATACAGTTGTTGTTGTTGTTGTTAAGTGCTGTCATGTTGGTTCCGATCCATAGTGACCCTGGATAGGGTTTCTGAGGAGCAACTGATGAGTTTGAACCTCCGATCTCGTGGTTCAAACCAACTTTGCAGTCCAGCGCATTAACCCACAGCGCCACACCAGGAAAAAGTTCACTTTATTTTTACAACCAAAAGAATTTCAAAGAGGAATTTCATGTTTATTGAAAAAAGGTAAAGAGTGAAACTAGCATTCAGTGTTTGTTTTGCAGCTAGCTGTTAAGGAGGCAGCCTGCTCCCTGAGCAGTAACAGTGATGTCATTGCCAAGCTCCTTTCCTTCAGCATCTCTGCATGTGGTCACCATAGCTTCCAACTGTGTCTGGGAACACTAGATGCTAGTGTTATTTTAGGGTTCGTATGCTATTTGGTATGATTTGGTAGGCTGGCTTTTGGGCCTGGAAATGCTTAGCAATTTTTCCCCATATAAATGAATGGTCATTGCTTCTTCACGTTACTAGTTTCAAGCTACAAAAGGTTCATAGGACTGTCTTCCTTTGGGATAGTGGGGGGGTGGGGGGGTGGGGGGGATGGACAGGATGGTACTGTATTATAGTCTATAATGGGCCCTGGTGGCACAACAATTAAATGCTTGATTGCTAATAAAAATGTTGGTGGTTCAAGCCCATCCAGCAACTCCATTGGAAAATGACCTGCTGATCTGCTCCTGTAAAGATTATAGTCTAGAAAACCCTTATGGGGCGGCATAATGTAAAGTGCTGATGTAAAGTGCTATCAAGTCGGTTGCAGTCCAGTGCATTCTCCTGCAGTGCCACACCACGACTCCCAGTCATATTGTCACATGGGATCACTACGAGTCAGCGTAGACTCAACAGCATCCAACAATAGCAACACAATATGGTGAAAAGCATATCGGATACACAAGTTCTTTTACTCATTGTGTGATTTTAGAAAGCTATGTTCCTGGGCCTATAGAAATGGATAGAACAGTAAACATTGTTTCTTCCTAATGAGACACTTCTGATGGGTATTTAACTGTGACCCAGAGAGTTGCAGAGACTTTCTGAAGATCATGTATTTAGTAGGAGGTAGAAGACACTCTGTTGCTGTTCAGTAGCTTCTGACTCAGAGAGACCCTATAGGGCAGGGCTCAACTTCCCCATAGTGTTTCCAAGGTTGGACTCTTTATAGAAGCAGATGGCCACATCTTTCTCCCATGGTGTGGCTGATGGATTCAAAGCACTGACATTTCTGTTTGCAGCTGAGTGCTTAAGCACTGCATCTTAGGGAATAGGACTATTTCAGCCTGTTTGTTCTCAAAGACCAAACTCCTTCTATTACACCACCAAGGTTACCAGAAAGCCACTCATTCCATCTTGTTGTTGGTAAGTGCTGTTGATGCCGACCCATAGTGACCCTGTAGAGAGTTTCCAAGGAGCAGGAGCGGCTGGTAAGCTTGAACCACCGACCTTGCAGTTCAAACGACTTTGCAGTCTGATGCATTAGCCCACAGCGCCACACCAGGACTCCATACTTAAATAGAATACCATTTTTGTAATGTTCTGTCTGGGACACAGCTTACTAAGGAATAACTGGCCACATGATTCTCATCTATGTGGAAATTAACAACGCAAGCAAAGGAGAGAATTTTGCTGCTTCCTCTTCTAGTTTAATTACATGAGTTTATTTTGCAATTAACCAACTTGGTATTCTAGAAAAATGATGACGAGACTGAAATTTATAGTCTTCTGACAAATTTTCATTGTTTTCATCTTCATGTATAAAGGGAATGTTTCAAGTAAGTGGTCTCCAAAATAAGTCTTCTTGGCGGAGATGATTTTGCTTCGTTCACTTGAATCTTCAAAGACTTGAGGAGTTATATGAAGGATAAAGAAAGGGATTCCAGGTTAGGAATAGTATGGACATAGGAGGAAAGTTTACTTATTGAGGGAGCCACAAATAGACCCTGTGACTGGCACACAGAGAGAGCTGTTGGGAAGTGGCAGAGGACAAAAAGGCTAGGCAGGCAGAGGTCAGCTGCTGAAAGAATTTATACCATATACTATATGTGGTATTGTGAGTTAATGTGCTAAAAATAAACAGCAAAGTCAGTTTGAACTGCAAGGCTGGTTGAAAACCCTATCCAGGGTTGCTATGAGTCAGAATCAACTCAATGGCACTTAACAATACCAACAGCAACCATGCTCAGGTGTATCTGACCCAAGCAATGGTATTTTCAGTCACCTCTGGTGGAGGGTCAGAGTAAAAGAGAAGGACCCCCAGCGAGATGGATTGGCAAAGAGCAGCATCAATGGGCTCAAGCATGGCAACAATAGTAAGGTTGGCCCAGGATCGGGCAGTGTTTCATTCTGCTGTGCATAAATAAGGTCGCTATGAGTCAGTACCGACTCGATGGCACCTAAAAACAACAACAACATATATGCATGTGAAAGTTGGACAATGAATAAGGAAGACTGTAGAAGAACTAATGTATTTGAATTATG